ATTTCGATAAAGTGAAAAAACTCAAATCTGTTTCTGTAAATTATATGTCTGAATATGCAAGATTTGTCAAAACAAAGAACAATTTAGCTCTCTTGCAAAGTTAAGTGACATTATTGTACCTTCCAAGCATGCAGTGTTGATTACGAACAAAGTTTTAGCCTTAATAACATAATAAAAGTGCAAGCACGAAATAGACTTGAAGCCACACATTTGGAGAATCTAATGCAAATTAAATTATATCTCAATGCTGGAGAGGATGTGGATTTAAACAAAGCATATAAGGTGTGGAAGCAATGCAAGGTTAGACGTGAGGAATTGCAATAAATGTCCCTGAAAGGTTAGCTAATATTTGTTTTTAAGTCAGCTTTATTAAATGTTGCATATGTTAAACTATTGTGTTTGTATTACCGTTATGGTATTAGCATTATTACCATATGACTGTCTTACTTTAACATAGTAAGTCGACCATATAACTTGTTGTCTAAGTATACCTCTGAAAGTTTTTATTATTTATTTTTCATTTTGATGGTATTCGTATCTCCATTTAATTGCTTACGTTCCATTAGTCACACACATTATACTATTAATTTATCAAAATCTATGCCTTCATTACTCTGCTTAATTGCAAGCCTAAACATTAACTTGCCCAAGTCATTTTTAGCACCGCGCACACAACATATATTTTGCACACACACTCTTGGTCCTTAGAGGGAACATTGTTTTTGGCCCATATCTCGGCAACCAGACCACTTAGCGACTTGAAACATGTACCAATCGATTCCTGCCATAATTTAGAACAATATTGCCGAAGAAAGTTTTCAAAAATATCCTTTCGTTCGGTCACAAATTTTTTTTTTTAATTAATTAAAATTTGGGCCGAATTAGTAGGCATGTTTTTCCAACCACACCACACACGTCATCACGTTCAATAGCTGCGCCATCACGTTCAATGGCTGCGACATCACGTTCAGTAGCTAGGCGCGCAATGGTTTTTAGTCATGTTTCTCTATTGTAAATAAAACATGTAAAATACTGAAATTTTTTTTTTAATAAAAAACGTTTTAATAACTAACCAATGGTTTTACTAACCCTGCTCTTGATTTACGCTACGACAGAGCTATTTTTAGATAACATAAGGAAATTGCGCTAAAATTGTCACTAGACTTTTTTTTAATTACTTGTTTTAAATGGACTGAGTAAAACGTAATCAAGATATCAAAAACGTAGGAGTTGTAGTGGCACCAAAATATAAATTGTATAGTGACTAGTAAAAGCGCCACTTACCTTTTCAACGGGTGGGGAGGGGGGGGTCACCAACATAAATAACTATAATATAATTGGGGGACACAAAATTGCTAGTTCGCCCCGGAGACCCGAATGGGTCGTTACGCCTCTGAATGCTGGACGGACTTATTTATTTTTTGTTGTCTAGGATGGAATCTCTTGTTGACTGAATCCAGATTTTGTTTAATGAAAAAGTTTTCAATCCTTTCCGTTTAGACAAGTTCACGTTGTCCAGATTAATAAGAGAATCGTTTTTTTTATCTATGTATGTAAAGAAAAGGTTTTTTTGGTGGACCCTTAAGAAAAGCATGAAATTATTTTTTAAATTGACGAGAATGTTTTCATGTTTTTAAATACTTGGTTAGCCACGCTTACGGCGATATACAACAACAACCGTTGGCCATTAATAAACGGCTTTCATATTTCTTCCAGCCTGGAGGCCAGATTTAGTTTTTGTTTAGCGGCCAAAATGGTTGCACCAGCTGACAACGGATGTGACGTCATTTCTTATGACGTCATTTTTTGTATGACGCTAACAGCAGCGATTTAGTATAGACTTTGGGGAGAAGTGCTATTGTTAGTCAATATGATTGAACATGGGTGTTTTATTTTTTTGTTGATTTTTGTTGTCAAGCCAATCAAAAACATTGACATATTCCCCCCTCTAATGACGATAGTGTAAATATAGAAAACACTGAAATGCATGATGACGTCACCGGGAACTGATCAATGAAATGAGGTATTCACAGTTGCTATTTTAGTACATTCATAATTTTTTTTACTTTCGTTTTAAAAACTTTGTCTGAATTTCTTTATACGCTTTTTATTAAAAACTAAAATCTGGGGACAGCAACCCATCTAGGAGAGACAACTCCAAAATCTAACAAATGCTGCCTTGTAGTTTGTTCTTGATTAAACAAAGGCTGTGGAAGCAAATCCAAAACAAACAAAAAAACAGGCCGAAATCGAAGTCAACAGCCTATATGGCGCTTCTCAAGTTGGCACATAATACTTAATTGGTATTTGGTGGCTAAAATAGTTAAGATGTCTCTTGTACAAAATAGTTTTATTTTCCTATTTTCAGTGCATTTAAAGACTTTCTGGCTGCGCCACTGCTAACCTTATGTACAAGATATGCCATTCACAGCGCCACGTACGTATTCATTTCACTTGCATACTAGTCTGTATTTTAAATATTTTATGAAATCGCATATTAGATTCAAGACAACAGAGACATTTACAACTAAATATTTCAGACATATTTTGTCTCAAATATCGATTTTTTTTTTTTTACAAAACAAAAATCTAAAGCCCGTACATGACACACGTAGATATATAACTTATATATATATATATATATATATATATATATATATATATATATATATATATATATATACAGAGGCGTAGCGAGGGGGGGGGGGTCGAGGGGTGCGGAACGCACCGGATGACACCATTTAGGGGGGTGACATCAAGGCAAAAAATAGCAAAATAAATTGAGAAAAACTTAAGGGGAGGAGGGTGCAAATCGAAAGTTTGAGGGGGGGGGGGGCGGGGGGTGCAAATCGAAAATTTGAAAGCTTGTTCCCGGGAAGGGGTCGCCTCTGGGGGGGTGACACCATTAAGTGCCGCACCAGGTGACATCCGACCTCACTACGCCACTGTATATATATATATATATATATATATATATATATATATATATATATATATATATATATATATATATATATATATATATATATATATATATATATATATATCGTTAATTTGTTCCAGTGAACTTGTCTGCATGTTGGGTATGTTTAATCTTACATGAGATAACCTTTGTCAATTATCAGCCGACTCCTGCCAGATATCTGTCGAGAAGATAATTTGTATCCACTCGGTGCTGAGATAATGAGAATATTCCACAAATCTGTGGACGTTTTATGCACGTAATATCACATCAATCACTTTTATGGGACTTTTTTGCATATTCTGTTTAAAATTTAAAGACACGTGATCGTTGAATGCGAAAAAATTTATATATATATATATATATATATATATATATATATATATATATATATATATATATATATATATATATATATATATATATATATATATATATATATATATAAATATGTATATATATCAATATATACATATGTATATGTATAACTTAAAAATGTTTCTAGTAAAATCTTGCAGCCTTGTAGTTTTTTCCACACTGAATGAACCCATGACCCCATATTGCATCGCCCACTTAGTCCGTAGTTGTTGTTGTTAATCTTTTAATATAATGATCAGAGCGTGGTACGAAAAGTGTGCACTCTTGTTCCAAACGTCACCCGTCTTGGATGAAGTCCTGTCTAGCTGTGACCCCAGGCCGCATAGGTTAATCCTCATCTGGGTTATAAACAAGGATCTCCCTCTTAAAATCTCTACCACACTTTTCACATCTCGTCATTTATCTATAACCCTAAAACTCGAAATATAGGTCTATCTGTATGCTACATCACGTATATATATATATATATATATATATATATATATATATATATATATATATATATATATATATATATATATATATATATATATATATATATAAGTATATATATATATATGTATCATACGCCGCTATTTAGTTGTTTTATTTTCTACTTTTCAGTAATTCATAATTTGTGAATTCGACAGTACCAACGCTGCCACTGAAAATATTTGCTTTAAAACACTATCAGTAGCTCGTTAAGGACGATAACCCCCCTCCTTTCCCCAACACCTACCCCTCCCCCCCCCCCCCCCCCCACCCCCTTCCGTGAAAGTAAACTCCTCTTCGTTTCCTCCCCTAAGTTTAAAATCGTTTCAAACTAAATTATCGGCCCTTTATAGTCGTCACTAAACCCGGCTCTACGATTGTAAACATTTAGCGTGAACCAACGCTCACCAGACCATGTAGGGGTGGGAGGTAGGGAGCGCGCTTACAGCTTGTTTTCTAGCGTCTCCAAGAAGAGAATTATATATATATATACATATATATATATATATATATATATATATATATATATATATATATATATATATATATATATATATATATATATATATATATATATATATATATATATATGAATTTCTATCTAGACAGACTGACGACTGACGACTGGCGACAGATGAAGTGAGTTAAATAAAAGCTTGTAAAAACGTTTTAATAACAAGCTTTTATGTAATGATGCACTAAAAAGTAGAAAATAAATTATAGACTACTATTTAAATAACTATAAATAAAAGCGTGGGTGTCTTCCTTAACATTAGTAAAGGTATCCAATAGATACTAAAGTGACCCACGCTTTTCTTTATAGTTATTTAAATAGTAGTCTATAATTTATTTTCTACTTTTTAGTGCATCATTACATAAAAGCTTGTTATTAAAACGTTTTTTATGAATTTTTTTTTAGTTATTTATTTTGCTTTTAATTGTAGATATAGATCTAGCTATAGGAATAAATGTAAAGAAATACTGGTCAACCATCTTTTCATTAAACATTATATTAATGAACGTGGAGTAGATCTATTTGTTTCAAGTTTCAATATTTTTAGGCGTAAAATCTAAAATATTTAAATAATTCAATCTACTTATACTAGTCTTATCTTTTATACTAATACTAAGGTACACTACTGATGCCGATAAGCGTTGGAAACTAAACGACAGTGCTTTCCCTTATCAACCGGATACACAGACGAAAATCCTTAGAAAAAATGGCTCTGACAGAAGACAGCAGGACGCTATGGATCGGAAATCTTGAAGATAGAGTGACAGAAGAGCTGTTGTATGAGCTGTTTTTACAAGTAAATGCTTTTATATAACCTATTCCTCATAATTACACTATAACCGCCCACTTACAAAATATTTGAATATTAGAACCGCCGGTGCCAATTATCGAGAATAGGTAATCACCGTAATGTTTGCGTTGCAGTTGCAGTGGTTCATTCTTTTCTTTATGAGCTTGTTCTAAAATCTAGATACAGAATCTAGTTAGATCCTAGAGATTAATATATCTTGATCTATATCTCTAGTGCCGGCAAGGGCGCCTCGTTGAATTTGTATTGATTTAATATTTTCTGTATAGGTCTACAGCCTACTTTGTACTTGTTCAATTTTCATGATTTGGAGAGTCTAGAAGTAGAAATCTAGACTAGATCTAGATCTAGAGATCTAGTCCCAAAAACTAAAAACTATTTCAGGTAGCAATTCTCATAAAAATTTAATTCGTCTACCCTAATTTGACCTATTCCATTGCAAAGTATATTTATTTTATTAGAAGGGACTAAAATAAGGCAGGAAACAGATTAGTACCGCAAAATGCATATTCGATCTTCGCCGTTCATAAACTTTCTAACCAGACATCGGTCGGGGATTTTGTTTATACTAATAAATAGAGCTATGTTTTTACAAGCTTCGTTAGCAACATTTTTGTGGAATACGTTTTTTATGACATTTTGTGCCGCGGCGAAGGATGCGAAGTATGCAAATCTAGACGGAATGGATCTACTTGGAAAAGTACGTGTACTGCACTAATAAGGTAAGAAATAATATTTTGTAAAAATAACTATTATTTTTATGGATTTTTCATTAGAAATGATTGCTGTAAATTATGAAAGTAAAAAAAAGTATATTTGAATGTGTTTTTTACTTTAATTTGAACAAAGTGAATGGCCATAATTACGACACATCGGCGTCGTTGAAAGCGGGGATTTCAGTTAATTTTTTACGGATATAAAATTGTATTTTTTTCCTCCGAGGCATGTATTTAAATAACAGTTTAGTTAAATGTATTTAATTCTGTAAAATATAAGTATTATTTTGCCGTAGATACTTAAAAAAAAAATGTTTATGATTTTCTGTCGGGGAAAATCGATATTCGCACCATGCACGTACACGTAGTAAAACTAGACTTATCTTTAAAACACGAGAATCTTGAGTACACTGCGAATAACAAAGTTTTTAAATTTTAGTTTACTTTTGACTTTAAGCCATTTGTTTTAAATCGAAATTAATTGATAATGTAATTATTTCAAAGTAAAAATTGTCCGTCTGAAATGGGTTCTAATCTTCGCCCACTGAACCAGCCTACGCACGACATTCGCGCGAGTCTGTTTCTTCGCAATAGTCTGTATAGTGTCGAGGGCTAATTCTAAAAAGAATCGAGTCCTTACTAATCCAATGTTTATTAAAATTAGGTACAATTGTTGGAACGCATGAGAAATAACAAATTAATATTTCTTTAAATCTATAGCCAAAAGAAAGTAGAACTTTATAGCTCTGTAAATTATGAATCGAGTGACGGCTGTCGTGAAAACGGGAGCCATTTTACTCTTTTTTTTAGGGTGACCTACTTTTATTATATAATTTTAAATTTCGTCGTTTTGATAAGCAGCCGAGTAGCTGACTACGCATGCGATATGGCTGGCACGTTTTGGGATAGGGATCGAGTACACAATAGAATTTTTTTTTTCTTAGAACTAAGCGTATTTTTTTTTTAAATCAAAAGATACTTACATATCAGTTGTTGATTTCAATTTCATTATAGAGCTAGATCTAATCACTAACTTCAGTTTTTAAAAGTGATTTTGCATCTAGATCTAGATATAGCGTATTTTCAAAATTACGTAAATCTAGATCTATTTTTTAGATCTAGATCTACTTACTATTTGACAACCGTGTCAGTAAAATGAGGTCAGCGCTTCCAGATTCTTAGGTTTTAATTATGTTTGTCATTTTGATCTATTATAAGTAGCATTAAAACAACTGCATCTATTATCAACATTGTTTTTATATGTCAGTTCTAATTATACATTCTGTTCATTACCAATTCTAATGAAATCGTATCAGGCCCTAACACCCTGTTCACCTACACTGACATTACACTTGAAAGATGCCACAGAGAGTCGTAACTTTAAATTAATGTTTTAAGTACTAAACAATTATAATTAGCCATGTAAATGCTGCAACTATATTAAAAATTGGCATATAGACATATTTTATTAATTATGTTTTTTTATATAGACCTTCTATATTTAACTCTGTTATTTTTTTCTTCCTCAGAGTGTTTCTAAAAGCCAGAATTTTAAAGGGGAGGGCGGTCGTTTTTTTTTCTCAAGAATAATTATAGAAATAAGCTATAAACTGGTATATTTTGTAAAGTTTGACATAATTACAAATAAATGTATGCCTAAGTGACATTTCTGTGTAATTATATTGTTAATTTTGTGAATTTCGTGGATTTTTAGACCTCACTACATTTAGATGTAAAAAAAAATCTCAGTTGAGTGAATGTGGTTAATCTACATTTTGAACGTGATGTAAATGTCTAGTGCTATTAATTTTTATATTTTTGAATTCCTCGATTGTTAAGCAACAAAATTGATATATAATATGTCAATAATTGTTACTTTGAAAATTGGCGAAAATCGACCCTAAAAGTAGATGCTTGAGGGTTGAATCTGTTTCCTGCCATAATTCATTTTTAAAAACGAAATAACTACCTATGTGGAGCAAACTGCTTCAATTTTCATGATTTGGAGAGTCTAGAAGTAGAAATCTAGACTAGTCCCAAGAACTAAAAACTATTTCAGGTAGCAATTCTCATAAAAATTTAATTTGTCTACCCTAATTTGACCTATTCCATTGCAAAGTATATTTATTTTATTAGAAGGGACTAGGCCTAAAATAATTCATTTTTAAAAACGAAATAACTACCTATGTGGAGCAAACTGCACATCGCCTAGTCTTCCAAAGGCCCTATGCTAGACAGAGAACAAATATGAATGTGCATGCGCAAGCGTTCCTTTGCGTATGACATTTAACTTTTCAACGTTGTGATAACCCCATTGAGATTGTCAAGGTGGTTGCGGATCAGTCAACTTGATTTCATGGCATCGTTCCATTCCTTTTAGCTCTGAGGTTTTGTTTCTTTCCTATTTCACTTAGGAAATAAAGCTGTTGTTGAACTTTTGAAGGTTTAGGGACAGTGTTTCTTTCAGACTTTTTCTCAAGGAGGACACGTAAATTTTTTTTATAGTCTCACCTTCAAATCAAGTAGACTAGTAAGAAAAGAATTTGTATTGGGAAAATTTGTCTAAAATTAAAACCTCAAATTCTGGGGTAGCCTATTGCTGTAAAAATTAAGTCTCACATTAAATTAGTCAAATATTCAATTTTGTTATTTTCTAATGTTTATATACTAAAATGTTTCTTTGGTTGTATATTATATGTGGTTGAAATTCTATGTCATTCTGTCTAATACACCTTATTTTCTCTGTTCCTTAGTGCATCCTGATTTTGAGCTTATTTTACCCTAATATATGCAATTTTTTAAGTAACATTTTAGATACAATCATGAATTTTGTGGTTTTTCTTAATTTATGACATTTCCAGCTTCCTAATCACATGAAATTGTTATAAACTTACTGATTTCAATTTGGGGTTTCAACCTCCCCTTAAGTCGATCAAATGTAACTAAAATTTTATTGCCCTTGTTATGATTTTTAATGAATATTATCTTTTACTTTTGAGGTCTGTTGTTGATGTTTTCTTTTATCTATAAAAAATGTCAGACCCATCTTACTTGTATGCAATATTCATCATCTTATCAGATTAATTAATAAGTTTTTAAAGTGCCTGAGTGAAACAACTGCCTCTTATTCCAAGCCAATACAAAAAAAGCATCATTTAACAATAAAAACTGTTGTTAGCTCAGTGACTGTCTGCTTACTATTTTAAAAATATTATTAATAAAAGCTATTTTGTGTTACAATAAGATAAATAAATTTTAAATGCCTATCCTTTTTTGTGCTGTGTAATTATGGCGTTTGTGCTATCAGTTTTGTATGCATATTGTTACTTATTAAGGGGTGATAAAAAAAAACGCTATTGGAAAATTATATTCTTTTATTTTAATTTGATAAAGCCTCTGATTATTAAACTACTTGAAACTAGCCAATTAGACCGAAACTGGTTCACTGACATTTAATTAGTGAAAAGTTTACCATATTTAATTTGTAAATAGGCTTGTAAGTTATTTTGTGAAATCCTGGTTCATTTGTTCTTAATTCTTAGGATGTCTTCAACCCCTACTCACTCTTGTAATAGGCTATTTTAATGTTCCCAAGACGTAACTACTCCAGACAATATTTATAGCGCTGTAATACAGTGGATGAAAATTCTTACAAATTATGTTAGCAAACAAAAACACCTCTCCTATATTTGTAACTAACTGTTAACACCCTCCCTTACCAGTACTTTGCTGTATTTTTCTACTCTATACTTTATGCATCGAAGAGCCTCAGTTAGTTAGCATTTGATTATCATTATAAATAAACCAATTTAAGTCATTAACAAGCCATTTCTTTCACAGACAGGTCCCATTGAAAGGCTGATCCTCCCCACTGAAGGTGAAGGTGAGGAGAAGAAACATATGGGGCATGCATACGTTGTTTTCCAACATCCAGAATCTGTACAGTATGCCTCACAGGTAAATCTTATTTTATATATATATATATATATATTTAATCTTTTGTGTTTTAACGTACACTATTTTCATTTTAAATGTTACTATTCTTACTTCCAACTTCCATGAATCAATTTCTTACCTTTCTATTTAGGTAATGGAGGGCTCATCTTTATTTGCACATCCCCTTGCAATCAAAGCTAGGGCACTCCCAGCCAATTATAAAAAGACAAACCTCAATGCCCAGGCCAAAGGACGATATGACAACAGCTCATTACGCGGGGGCATGAACAAATCGAGCACATGGCATGGAGGAAATGATTTTGCACCACGGGGTAGGGGCAACTTTAGGAATAACCGTGGAGGCGTTTCAAATTATGCCCAGAACACAACTTACAACACAGGCTACAACTATAACACCACAGGAAGTCAGGTTGGTACACTCAACTAGCTTATTTAGTCCTCAGATAGAGTAGTTTACAAAACAATGCCAGGTCTTTTTGTTGTTGTTGTTTAACAAAAGAAGTTATGGTTGTTTCAAATTGTTTTCTGCATATGATTTAATTTACTAAGATGTTTTTCCTTTAAATTTCATATGCATCAAATAGATATTTAGGCACTTCAATAAAAAGTATCACAACAACTGATGTTTCAACCAAAGGCCTGTGTCAAATTAGTATAAAAATAAAATAAAAAACAATAAGAATGTTGATTGAAAACAGGTGTGTATTAGCTCCGTTGGTTTAACTTGTAAACGAGTTAATAACTCTACAGTTAAATATTTATTACTTGGCTCATGCAAATTCTCTGAGCAGCGTTTGCAGTATCCGTAATGTCCTTTGACTTTTCAGCTAGCTAATTCAGGGTACTGGATGACTGGTCAGCAGCAGGCAAGTACAGACACAACCCAGACCACGTACAGCACGTCCAACACCTCCCTGGACGACAAGAGGCAGAGGCTGTTGCAGCAGCAGAGCGCGACGCTGGAGGCCCACCGCCAGATGCAGCAGGGCGTGATGAACATGTACATGGGCCAGAGCCAGTGGAACAACAGTGGCTACAGCACGGGCACGTGGAACATGGGCGGGGACACCACAGGTTACCAGGGATACACGGATCAGTACGGGACATGGTACCAACAGTAGCGCCTGGCTTAGGGTGAGAGAGTATTGGCAAGTGCTGGATTTGTGCTGAGTGAAAGGTTCTAGAGAAGTTATGGTACCTACCATACTACTGTCTGTAGAAGTTGTGGTACCTACCATACTTGTGGTTCCTTGAGTGAATGGTTTGGCTCAGTTAAAAAGTATGTTGAATTTGAGAGTTGCCGAACTATCTGGTTGTTTTGTTAATATGGGGCATAGCCAGGATTCCAAGGCTTAGGGGGAGGGTGCCAAAGGTAAAGGTTAATAGTGGTAGGAGACAAACATGATAGGTGAAGATGTCATTAGGGAATAGGGAAGGTACCTTCAGTGGAATTTGAAGCAAAGTCATTAGATTTTTTTTATTATCAAATTACATACAGCAGAACCATAAACTCAACTTTAAAAAATTAGACATTTGAATTTAAACTATACAGAGAGTATAGAACTACATACTAGATTATACAGAGCTATGTAAATGCAAAGTTTTATATAATACAATGATAGCTTGTTTACTTGTAAATATCAAAGTAATCTGGATATTTTTGGTAGGGATTTATGGCTGAATAACCTCCCTTTTCTTTCCCTGACCCTTGGCTATGCCTGTAAGTAACCAAAAACTTAGATAACTAATAAATTCTGATGTTTTTTTATAATACTTTGCCTACATTTAGTATTATAAGGTTTAATTTTCTCTGTGCTTTTGTGAATTTTAGTAGTTCACTTTAAAAAATAATGAATTGTAAATAATCAATGGTTAAATCCGTTGGACAACTCATTAATTTTTATGACAGCAAGTATGCAGCTGTTTTAATGAATTAGATGTTTCTGTATATTTTTGGTTTAGCTAGACATTAAGATTTGTATTGCTATTTTGATTTTGCTGTACACAGAGTTATGATTTCTTACTGATATGGCAAATGATTGAATATGATTGAATGTGGTTCATGTGAAAACACAGTAGAACCTCTTCTCCATGTGTCTGTTCAGCAGAATATTTCTTGTTTATTGAAGTGGTAGTAAGCATTTGCACTATTTTTTATTATCCTACAGACAAAAATAAATTAGGGCTTTGATTTTTTTTTGTTATTAAAAACTGGAGTAGGAAGACAAATGTTAAGTGACATCAGCAATTTTTGTACAATTGCTTTGGTGATGACTTAGAACTACTTAAAAGCATCTGTCGTCATGTCATTTTGCTTACACTTCTACCATAAAAGTTCTTGCTATGCTTACATAATTTTTGGGTGAAAAAAAGAACAAAAATCTGATCATGTTTGATTCTATTTTATAGCTCAGCCTCTGACTTGAGTCACACCATTTCTGTACCAATAGTTGCCAATGATCCAGGCAATGGTTCTATACACGTAGCTTATGTACTGTGAGGGAGTGGGGTGTAACTAAGGTTCTACTGTGTCTCTTCTTTGTTGTATACACAATTTTTGCCTGCGTGGTCAATTATTTCACTGAATATGTTGTTAAACATGTTTCCATTTTCTGTAAATAAAATGTTTCCACTCACCTCAACATTGTTGTGTGCTTGTAAAAATGTGGTGTGTTCATAACACAACCATCAGTGCTTGTGGTTAGATTGGTTCAAGTAATTTCTATTCAAATAATAGCACTTGACAGTAGAAAATGGAAGCTGTACCAACCATGTGAGATGATTCTGTCAATAAATATAATGCTAGGGGAGCTGCTTGGCACTTCTAGGTTATTGTAACACTGTAAAAGAAGTGGTACTATCACTTCAATATCAAGAATTAACAGTTCTATAAAGCACATAGAATTGTTACAGTTATGCTCTGAGAGAATATCTCATGATGGGATGGTGTACCTTTGGATGTCAGACACATTTCATATTGTTGATGTGGCTGAGCAGGGTGCAGGCCTAACTACACATGCATAGGTCATAATACTTCACCCCTGCAGCTAACTTACTATTTGTTTGAAACATGTCTACACATGCAGAGGTCAAAGATCATAATTCTTAACCCCTGCTTTGACTGGCTATGATACTCAGTATCAGAACATTTTACCAGATAATAATTAAAGACTGTTTAGGGTGTTGTCTGTGGTGGAGAAAATGTTTCCTTTAAATACATCAATTTGACATTATGCAAGTTAAAGGGCCATAACAACATCACATGTAAGGGCTGATGTAAAAAAATTTACGATTACATATATCAATTTGACATTATGCAAGTTAAAGGGCCATAACAACATCACATGTAAGGGCTGATGTAAAAAAATTTACGATTACATATATCAATTTGACATTATGCAAGTTAAAGGGCCATAACAACATCACATGTAAGGGCTGATGTAAAAAAATTTACGATTACATATATCAATTTGACATTATGCAAGTTAAAGGGCCATAACAACATCACATGTAAGGGCTGATGTAAAAAAATTTACGATTACATATATCAATTTGACATTATGCAAGTTAAAGGGCCATAACAACATCACATGTAAGGGCTGATGTAAAAAAATTTACGATTACATATATCAATTTGACATTGTGCAAGTTAAAGGGCCATAACATCACATGTAAGGGCTGATGTAAAAAAAGTTACGATTACATATATCAATTTGACATTATGCAAGTTAAAGGGCCATAACAACATCACATGTAAAGGCTGATGTAAAAAAATAGGATTACATATATCAATTTGACATTATGCAAGTTAAAGGGCCATAACAACATCACATGTAAGGGCTGATGTAAAAAAAATAGTTACGATTACATATATCAATTTGACATGCAAGTTAAAGGGCCATAACATCACATGTAAGGGCTGATGTAAAAAAATTTACGATTACATATATCAATTTGACATGCAAGTTAATGGGCCATAACATCACATGTAAGGGCTGATGTAAAAAAAATGTTACGATTACATATATCAATTTGACATTATGCAAGTTAAAGGGCCATAACATCACATGTAAGGGCTGATGTAAAAAAAATAGTTACGATTACATATATCAATTTGACATTGTGCAAGTTAATGGGCCATAACATCACATGTAAGGGCTGATGTAAAAAAAATGTTACGATTACATATATCAATTTGACATTATGCAAGTTAAAGGGCCATAACATCACATGTAAGGGCTGATGTAAAAAAATTTACGATTACATATATCAATTTGACACGCAAGTTAAAGGGCCATAACATCACATGTAAGGGCTGATGTAAAAAAAAATAGTTACGATTACATATATCAATTTGACATTGTGCAAGTTAAAGGGCCATAACATCACATGTAAGGGCTGATGTAAAAAAAAATGTTACGATTACATATATCAATTTGACATTATGCAAGTTAAAGGGCCATAACATCACATGTAAGGGCTGATATCAATGTAAGGGCTCATCTTTAAAAAATGGTAAGAAATCTCATTGGCTAATATGTTTAGATGTAGGGGACGTTACTCGGTTAACCCAGCTCCTGCGGTGGCAATTAGCTGGGGGGGGGGGGGTGTACTCTACTTTATCTACACCTACCATCTGTGGAAAAGGCTGCAGTACAACAATATGAAATACAAACGTGTTGGTTATATTACGAGATCCGACATCACAGGCCTAGCTATAAAACGCTTGGCTAGCAGTCTGACTTTTTTTTCTCGGGAGGGAGGGGGGGGGGGGGGGGGCGGACACTGATAAAAGCATATATTTCTATAACAGTTCTATTTCATTAGGGGGATGGGGAAGTACCACAGTAGTGTGTATTACAACATATCAGATGTATTGTATTCATGTGTGCGATATATACAACACGTCAATTGTGTTCGATACAAGCGAAATATGAGTTGTGTTTTATTCATGTGTACGACCATAACTCAAAATTGAACTTCATTCAACGTGGTCGTCACGCAAAAGTTTGCAACATACAACGTTACCGTCAGAATAGTACTTAATTCAGTGTGATTTCTCCCCCCCCCCCCCCCACCCCCCCCCCTTCCCCCTCCCCCCCCCTCCTCTCATCTCTCACCCCCCCCCTCCCCCTTCTCTCACCCCCCCCCTCCCCCTTTTCCCCCCTCCTCTCATCTCTCCCTCCCCTTTCCCCCCTTCCTCTCATCTCCCCCCCCCCCCCCCCGCCTTAAAACTGTTCATTATTTAACGTGATTGTCACTGAGAATTGTACCTGATTTAGTGCTTTCGCCATTCAATGTTGTATTCGGTGCAACCATCACTACTACAAAAAAAATTGCCTGTAACCCTCGCCCATCCTCCCCTCCTTTCTTCTAAATCCTAGTCGTTATGCCGGCTATGTTGATCCCGATAATTGAAATAGATGAGTTATCTGCCCCTCGCACTATCCTTACCACTCACATCTCAAAGTGAGGAGTGGTTTTTTTTTTCTCCTGATGAAATATGGTCATATGCGATCGGTTATTATAAGATGATAAGGGTGATTAAGGTATGAAAGAAAATCGATCCAGCCGCCCATATGGTGCAGCTATACTGCTCCTTGGATATTGATTGCACGGGGCTCAAGTTTTCAATCGATGGAATGGTTCGATCTTATCACACTAGATCGATGGCAAACATTTGCAGTTTTTTTTTTTTAAAGTTATATATGGTCTATATCAGACCAATGGCGAACATTCGCTGTTCTTTACATAGGTATACGTGCTATATACCAGATTATTGGCGAACATTCGCAGTTCTTTACATAGGTATACGTGTTATATACCAGATTATTGGTGAACAAAACCTTAGCAATGAAAAAAAACACATAATTTTTTAGAAGAATAACTGGAAATGGAATAGAGAAGAAACAATGCTTAGGCCTACTGTGCAAAATTGTTCTCATCAACGAGTCTATGAAACCTTCAAAACTAATACATCATTTTGAGACGAGTTATTCGAAACACAAAACAATATATGGAGTTCTTTCGTCGGCATTAACTAGTTGCAAACGTCAGATACTTGATTGAACAGGAAGTTTTCACACAGCATTAGTGCAAGCATCATATGAAGTCGCCTTAAAAAAGCCAATCAATAAAAAAAACTCTCACATAATAGGAGAAAATCTCATCAATGTTGAAGGTGGTGAAATTAATTTTTGGGGATTTCAGTGCAGTAAAGATGCAACAGATATTTTCTGTCTAATAATTCTATTCAACGGCTTATAGCACACATGTCTGTAGATGTTAAAGGATACGTTTTAAATAAAATCAAGCTGGCACCATTGTTTTCTTTTCGAGTTGATGAATCAACAGCCGTGAATTGTGAAATATATTCATTCAGATGATAGTAAAGAAGAGAAAGAAGAGTTGTTATTATGTGAAGATATCATGGAGAAAATAAATACGTTTTTTTTTTTTAAAAACTGGATGATTAAAAATGGGGAAAACGGCTGTGGGTTTGTACGGATGGTGCGCCATCTATGTTTGGGTCAAGATCGGGCTTTCAGAAAACAGTAAAAGATTTAGCTCCCTAACCAAGGGGAATCCATTGCATGATTCACCGGTACGCCCTCGCCAGCAAGACTCTTCATACTCCATTGCTAACGCTAATGAAAGTCGTAAATTATATTAAATCTGGAGCCCTAAACACCCGTCTGTTTAAAGAACTGTGCAAAGATATGAATAAAGATCACGAGCAGAGTTTCTTCCAGGCATCTCTTCGGGGGGGGGGGGGGGCAAATAAAGTCTACCGCCCCCCCCCCCCCCCCCCCGAACGAAATGAAATTTATATAGAAAATATATACTTTTAACAGTGTCCGCCCCCACCGCCAAAGAAGGTCTACCGCCCCCTCCCCCTAAAATTTCAAGTGCCTTTCCCCCCCCCCCCCCCCCCTGGAGAAAAAAGTCTGGAAGAAACACTGATCACGAGGTTATGCTTTTCGACATTAGAGTACGCTGGCTGTCAAAAGTAAGTTGTGAATCGTGTTTTTGAATTGACATATGAAATCAAGTTGTTCTTGGAAATGCAAGGGAAACAACACCTTTTGATAGACTTTAACGACAATGAGTGGTTGGAGAGAGTAGCACACCTAGCAGATATAATCAACATAAGCTTAACCTGAAGCTTCAGGGAAAATGAACGAATATTATCTCTTTTCATGATTATCAAAGCTGCAAAATTGGCGAAAAATAAATCTTGGAAATATCGCCATGTTTTGTGAGTATGGCTGTGATGTAAATACAAATTTGAAAGAGCAGATTTCTGGGCATCTTGAATCTCTTGGCAACGAACTGCGGCGCTATCCATGCAGTTTTACTCATCGTATTAAAACAGTTAAGTCTAATTTTAGTACTGATTGATTTCCTTACTAATTTCGACTTTTCTATGGGGGTCGCGGGTCACTTAAATTTTATAAAAGGGGGTCGCCATTAGAAAAAGTTTGGGAACCACTGTTCTAGATGGTTCGCCTTTATCACGAACACGTATACGCCCAGTGGTGCCGTGTTATCATGTTATTTGATTTTCTCTAGTTTTTCTTTCTCGTAATTAAGGAATTTATTTTTCTTAAAATACTTTTATTTTCAATTAACA